GGGGTGTCCTGGTCCCCAGGGTGGGTGTCCCCGGCCTCACCTGGGCCACCAGGCGCTGGTTCTCGCTCAGCCAGGCCTCCCGCATGGCCGCTTTACGGTCAAAGCGCCGCGCCAGCTGCTCCAGCTTCTCCTGCCGGATGAGCTCGGTGCGCAGCGCCAGCTCCCGCTCGTGCTCCGCTTTCTCCAGCTGCTCCCAGGCCTGGGGGAAGGTGGCAATGCCGGACGGAGGTGGCACCCACATCCCATGTTCCCCCCACCCACCTGTGTCTTGTTCTGCTGGTGAACTCCAAGGTGACCCATGGGTGGGAGAACATGGCCAACCTGCCCTGGGATGGACCTGCCCTGCGCCGGGATTGACTCAATGTGTCCCAGGATGGACCTGAACTGCCCCGGGAGATGGATCTGAACTGCCCCGGGAGATGGACCCAACCCAGGATGGACCTGAACTGCCCCAGGACCTCAACTGCTCTGGGATGGACCCAACCTGCCCCCAGGAGATGCTTGCTCTAGAACAGACCCAATCTGCCCTGGGATGGATCTGAGCTGCCCCGGGACAGCCTGGGGAGCAAAGCCCCTGGGGATACCGGAGGAAGAGCTGCCCCCAGGTCGCCACGGCACGGCACACAGCCGGGCTGCCAGGATGGGCCCCGTACCCTGTTGATGTCGGAGACCAGGCGTCCTTCGTGCGGGGTGTAGACGCGTTGGTTGTTGGCTCTCATCCGCGACTGGATGGTGAAGAGCAGCACCTCCAGGTTACCCTTCTCCTGAAACCTGTCCCAGAGAGAGCTCAGCCCGGGGCACCCATGGGTGCTCAACACCACTGAGCGGGCATGGGGGGCTGGGGGATGCTTACTTGGGGGGCTTCTCCACCGTGCGATAGGTGCTAAAGGATTGGAGCTGGTGCTGCACCCCGGCCAGCGAGCTGGCTTTTTAGGCAATGGTCTGCTCGATCCAGGTGAGCAGGTTGGAGGCCAGGCCCCCGTAGCCCTCGATCATCCGCTCCGTCTCCTTGGCGTGTTCAATGACCTGTGGCAGGGCCGGTTGTGAGCGTGGGGTGCCGGCACCCCGGCAGAACCGTCCCCCCACCTCAACGCCGTCCCCTACCTTGCCCAGACGCCTGCCCTCCACCTCCAGCACCTTCATCTTAGAGAAGTAGTGGTAGAAGGCCACCACGTAGGTGATGATGGACTTCTCGTCGGGGTTCTCCGTGAACACATCTGCTCGGCGTGAGCGAGAGGTGTCAGTCCTGACCCAGCCTCTGCATCGTCCCGCCGTCACCCCAGCGGCAAGGGGCCACCACGGCCTCACCCCTTGCTCCCACCCAGACCCCCCTTCCACAGCGTGGAAACCTCTCTGTCCCTCCACGGGGCCTGGGCATGTCCCGGGGTGTAATGGGGAAACTGAGGCAGGAGGGTTGGCGGCGGCAGCCTCACCTTCGGGGTCGAGGAGCGGGGTGATGCCCAGGTGCCGCTCCGCCACGCTGAATGCGTGCTCCAGGTTGTGCCGGGCGTTGGATTTGGTCAGGTTTTGGAAGTCAACCAGCTCAGGCCTGGGGACAGAGGGCGTGAGACAGCGGTGATGCCCCCGTGGG